CCAGACTTGATAACATCAGTCAATGCCCCGGCCGTCTGGCCCAGCATAGGATAGGGCAATCCCAGGGGCCTAGATCGGTAGTGTTTGGTATTGGTGGTTTTGTGGTGCAAATAAAGGGGTGACCTGCTCATGGGGGCAGGTAGCAGGCTCCACATTGTGTGAGGTCCAGCCATTGGATGGCTGTAAGCAGTAGGCTTGCTTTGGGAGGCCCACAAGGGAAAGTTCTAGCCACAATAGGAATGAGGTTCGTTGTGCCCAATGGGGAGGATGGAGGAAGAGAGAGTCATAAGTTTGGTTGTCTGGTCTGGTGGCCACCCCTTTCAGGTATGTGACACATGCTCAGTTGGGGAGCCCCTAAGGGAAGGTGCTGTGCTCTGGCAGGGGGCACCTTGGTGGATGATGTGGGTAACTGGGTGGTCATCCTCCAGGATGTAGTGTCTGGATGGACTGTGGTCATCACCTGCCATGTGGCGGCTGGCTCCCCGGGCCAGAACAACTTTTAAGTCAGATTCAGGTCACGGAGACATAGGTTGACATCAGGAAGGATATCACAAAGATGTGCAAAGTAGGGTGGGTGCTTGAGGGCACATTTAACTATGTGCTGGGCTGCCAGTTGGGCATTTTAATTATGGTCAAGGTAGCTTAGGGGTAGAAGGGAGGACTGGAAATGCAAGACCACATCCCCTTTTGTTTGTCCTGATGGCTGCTCAGGATAATATAATATTCCTAGCCTATGGTGTTGTAGAAGGAGAGCTGTATATTCCAAACAGATAAGGATGACACTGTGGGTGCAATAGTGCCCAGGTGTCCTGTCATTAAGTAGGAAATCTGTGTCCCAGACCCAGGCCACCAGTTATATCAAGCATAGCAACCTATTGATAACCCAAATGTTCCACAATAATATTTGCAGGGTTTTAGGCTCCATAATAGCATTCAGGACTGCCCATTTATAATGACTGGGCACATCTGTATCCCACAGCTGTGAGTGGCTATCCATGCTTCAGCATCTATGGTGGGAAATAAATAGACTCAAGCATGCTATTTTATTTTATTTTATTTTATATATCTATCTATTTATCTTTTTTTGTTTGAGACAGGGTCTTGCTCTGTCACTCAGGCTGGAGTGCAGTGGCATCATCATAGCTCCCTTCAACTTCAAACTCCTGGGCTCAAGCTATCCTCTTGTTTCAGCCTCCCAAGTAGCTGGGACTATAGGCATGCGCCACCATGCCTGGCTACTTTTTTTTCTTATTTTTTGTGGGGTCTCACTATATTGCCTGGCTGACCTCAAACTCCTGGTCTCCAGCAATCCTCCCACCTTGGCCTCCCAAAGTGCTAGGATTGTAAGCATGAGACACCACACCTGGCTAGGCATGGTGTTTTAGAATGTTGGAGTTGGGGACCAGGATCTCTTTTGTCTTGCTCCAAGATCCACATGGTGGTAGGGGTCAGTCCAGGTGCCAATACTTCTATCCCCTGTGGGAAGAGCCCCAAATTAGCCAGCCTTTAACTCCATCATAAGTGGGAGGTGTTTTAGGGGATTGTAGTGCCTGCTTTCCAGGCTGGTGGAAATGCACATTTAGGGCTTTTCTTGTTCCATCCAAGGCCAGCAGTTCCCACGTTAATCCTCTGTGACTTGAACTCAGATTGAAAAAAGACAAGAGGAACCGAGGATCAGAGGAGCTTGGGGCAGGCAGCCATATATGGGAATCCATGACTTGGAGCCTGAGTCTCCTGTCAGAACCAGTAAAGATGAAATGAAGGGCCCATAGGGACAGGTATCAAGGGAGGTAAGAGCAGTAAAAAGAAACTGATTTGGGAAACCACAGGCCATTTTGTAGCTTAACAGTAGACCCATCACTGTGGAGTCTGCCATGACGTGGTGGGAGACGTGAGCCTGTGACAGACAGGTGCATGTGCCCACCATGGTTGGGGCACACTGGGTGGCCCAGGGGACCTGGGCGGAGGGCCCGTGACCATTAATTTGCCATTGCAAGTGCAGTCCGTTTCATCAGTCATTCTGCTGGGAGTGACATACTGTGCCCAGCTGTTTCTCCGCAGGTATTCAATACGTCTAGGAGTGCAGTTGAATACGGTGGGATGCCGGCCCCCAGGACTGTGGGCTCCACGCGCCATTAGTCCACTGAAGCCTCTCGCGTGGGGGAGGATGTGAGCGGAGGCACGTTTGGGAGGGGCGTGGGGAGAGGCTGCTGTGCACGAAGCGCCACCGTCAGCAAAGGCCTGAGGAAGGTAGGCGGGGGTCGAGGGAATGGCTGAGTGGGCAAGGACAGGAGGGACCCGCGTAGGTGGCTGAGACTTGTCTGTAGGAGACAAGGGAGGTACAGCCGAGGCAGCTCCAGAGTCATCTATAGCGGTCACTGTGGATGGGGCACTTACTGTAGCCAGGCTTGTTCAGGCGCGTTAATTAATATATTATCTCACCATGCGTCACACTGAGCCTGTGGGGTGCACATGCCTGGCTCCGTGCCTCTGCCCCGTCCAACAGGCCATTCTCCACGCGGCCGCCCCAGGGGCCTTTTATAACCTGTGTCTGACCATCTTGCTCCCCTGCCTGAAGCTCTGCCGAGGTTTCTTTCTGGCCCAGAGCAAAAGCCAAAGTCCTGGGTGGCCCTGCGCGTCTGGCCCAACTATCTCTATGTCCCCTTCTCCTATTCTGCCTCCCTCCATCCCTCCTTGTGCTTAAGCCACTCGGGCCCCCTCGTCACTCTTCAGACTCTCCCTTTAGGGCCTTTGCTCTTTTCCTTCTCCCTGTCTTCCCCAGACGTCAGTTCTCCTTACTAGAAAGGTCTTCCTTCGTCACCTGAATATGACACTGACAACCCTAACCACCCTGTCCCTTTCCCTCACTCTGTCTGTGTTATTCTTCCCCATAGCACAGTAAACTACCTGTTTACTCGCCTGTTTGGTTAGTGTCTATCTCCCCCTCCCTAGTCTGTAAGCTCCTCTCACACAAGAGCAATGGGGTTTTTGTTTGTTTGTTTGGTTTGGTTTTTGAGACAGGGTTTTGCTCTGTGGCCCCAGGGTAGAGTGCAGTGGTGTCATCATAGATCATTGCAACCTCAAACTCCTGGGCTCAAGCAATCCTCCTGCCTTAGCCTCCCCAGTAGCTGGGACTACAGGTGTGCACAACCATGACAGCTAATTTTTCTATATTTTGTAGAGACAGGGTCTTACTCTTGCTCAGGCTGGTCTCAAAGTCCTGACCTCAAGTGATGCTCCCGCCTCAGCCTCCCAGAGTGCTAGGATTACAGGTGTCAGCCACCGTGCCTGGCCGTTCAGCAAGTATTTATTACCTGTTGCTATGTGTTAGGAGCTCAGAGTTTAGGGGCAGCCATGTGCGCATTTCCTGTATGCCAGGCACTGTGCTGGCACTGAGGATTTAAAAATAAACAAGACGCTGTCCCCACCGTTGAGGAGCTCGATGTCTAGGGGTGAAGTGGCAAGGGCACACTCGCCGACCTGCTGGTGCCACAGCTGGGCACGGCCAGACTAGACCACAGAGGGGGGGCTCCAGCTGGGCTCCCCGGACCTGACGGTGTCCAGGTAGTAGCACCTAGCTGTCCCGTGCGTCTGTCCAACAGAGTCACTGAACAGTTATGCTATGCCCTGTGAAGTAGTGACATTAGAGATACACAAGCTGGTCAGACCAGGGCCCGTCCTCAGATCACAGAAGCGAGAACACAAATATTTCCCTCATGTATTCATTCATTTGCCAGCTAGAAAACAAGTGCCTGCCCTGTGTCAGACACTCCTACGTTCTCAGTATAAAACAATGAACAAAGTAGACACTATTGCTGTACTCAAGGACCTTACAACCTAGGGGCAGACCAATATAATAAGTGATTATATTATCATTGCTATTATTAATATTAATAGCAACGATGACTAACAAGGGCTAAGTGCCAGCCACTGTCCAAGCACTTCTATGACTTATTGTATTTATTCCTCACGATGGTCCTTAGAGTACCCCGGTATTACAGATGAGGAAGCTGAAGCCACCATCTCCCTAAAGTCCACAGTGATTTTCTGGGAGCACAAAAGAGAGCGTGTGTCATGTTACCATGCAAAGTCAGGAAAGGCTTCATAGTAGATTCACTTTTTAAAGGGGACCTAAAGAAATGTGGGTTTTCTCTAAGCAGAAATAGTGGGGCAAGAACCTGGAATAACCGAAGTATAATATAATACCTGCTTCAAAAGGGAGCTGTGAAAAGTCAACAAGTCATCAAGATATGGAAAACCCTAGTACAGTGCCTGGCACAAAGCAGATACTCCCAAATGTTTGCTCCCCTTCACTGGTCTCCATTCACCTTGGTTTTTTTCTTTTTCTTTTTTTTTTGAGACGGAGACTCACTCTGTTGCCCGGGCTAGAGTGCTGTGGTGTCAGCCTAGCTCACAGCAACCTCAAACTCCTGGGCTCAAGCAATCCTCCTGCCTCAGCCTCCCGAGTAGCTGGGACTATAGGCATGCGCCGCCATGCCAGGCTAATTTTTTCTATATATTTTTAGTTGGCCAATTAATTTCTTTCTATTTTTAGTAGAGATGGGGTCTCACTCTTGCTCAGGCTGGTTTCGAACTCCTGACCTCGAGCGAGCCTCCCTCCTCTGCCTCCCAGAGTGCTAGGATTATAGGCGCCAGCCACCGCGCCCGGCCTCATCTTGGTTTTTTAAAGACACTCTTCAAGTTATAACCTCCTTGGGGGCCAGGGCTTCTCCGAGGCTCTCTATTACAATCTTAGTCCTCAACTCAGAGTTGGAATGTGTTGGAAAATGCTGGCAAGGGCAGCAGCCCCACCTCTTCATTGCCTAAGGTTGTTATGCACACACACACACACACACACACACACACACACACACACACACAGTTGCTGGGGAGATCCTGGTAAACACCAGCCTCTCTTTTGTATCAGAATAATTGAGTGGCCTCCCTTTGTGGCCGGTGTAGAGGAACAAATTAGATGGGTAAATTAACAGTTCCCGAAGACATTAGCAACCACCAGCTCACATGGTGCATGCCTGACTCACCGTGGGGCCTCTCCCAGTCACAGCCTATGAATAGACGCTCTTCCTCCCTCTGCGAGAGAAGCCAGAGTGCCCGGAACACCATGGGGGAAGCCTGAAGGCTTGTAGCCCCCTTGGAATCTTTTTATTTTAAAAGACAAATTTAATTACCACTTCTTCTGGCTCCTTGAAGCAGCAGAAAAAAGTTCCCCTGCAAGCCTCTGTTCGCCGGAGGATTAATGTAGCCTGCTCACCAGCGGGTGACGTAATCCCGGTGGCTTCCCCGAGCAGATCTGGGCACTGCCCCGCCGATGCCTGCTGGGCTAATTGCTCGCTTTGCACCTGCTCCTTCTGGGGAGGCCCTGGCACCCTAACATCTGGTGCCTGGGCACCTGCAGGCCCTCGTGGACAGCAAAGCCCACTCCACGGCTCAGGGCATGGGAGGGTGTTTCCTTCTCATTCTGCTCAAGGCCAGTTGTTGTTCTTTGAGGGTGTTGCAAACCCCGAGTTCAGAGGGCTGGGCCTGTTGGCGGCCTGGTTGTCTATCTGGTAGGGCGGTGCCTTCACCCTTGGCAGTGAGCTCCTTCACCCCCGATGTGCTCTGTGTGGAATCCCTGGGACATCAGGGATCGTCCTCTGTGCCATCCCAGACTGCAAGCCCTGCAGGGCCCGAATCCTTACTTAGACCTTCCTCCTCTGGCCGGGACGTGGAGGAGACTCGCCATCCTCAGCTTTGAACTGGTTCCAATGGACCCTCCAACTCTGCGAAGCCAGCTCTGGTCCTGTTCTCACGTGACTCCCTCTCCCTCCTTGGATTCCTCCCTTGGAACTTGTCCCCTGCACCGCTTTTCCCTCTTGCCCAGCGCAGCACCATTTCATCCCTGGAAAGGGGAGCTGCAGGCTGTACCACTTTGGAGGCTCTCATTGACCTGGAGTGAAATCTTAGCTTGGCCACTTACTAGCCAGGCAATCTCAGGTAAGATGCACAGCCTCTCAGACCTCAGCACCCTCATCTGTAAAACAGGGACAATGGTACCCATCGTGCAGCATTGTTGAGAGGATTAAATGAGATAACACGAGGAGAGAGCTTGCGTGTGTCAATATTATGTAACACACGCAGTATTGTCTTACCCGGCAATAATTTCAGTGTATGGATTTGATCATCTCTTAGTGAGATATGAAATTCTTCTAACTTGGTTCTTTTGACCCCCTCAGGGCCTGGAGCAGTTATAAGTGTGTGCAGAAGTTGGCTCTTTATTAGCTGAATAGAAGGAGACGACTGCAGGTTTTCTTTTCACTTGTCTCCACCATGAAGCTCTTATCAGTTGCTCTCCCTGGGCTGCCCCTTTGATCCTAGGCTTTGGGGCCACTAAGCTCTCCTTTCCTTGTGCCCTGCTGAGTCCCGAAGTCCTGGTTTACAGCTGGATTGTTGCGATTCCCCAAACTGGCTGCTCCCCCCATGCAGGCCCTGTCTGTCAGCTGTCTCCCCTGCACACGTCGTCTGTATGCTGGGCCGGGTCCCATCCCAGGGTGACAGCTCACCAGGCCTCACCCCCAAGTCTCTCGCAAGCATTAGCAGCCCACCCCGGTCCAAAGATATCTCTTATAGCTGATCTCTAGCCGCACCTCCTACCTTCCAATTAGGAGCCTGTCAACACCGGGCCATCATTCTTCCTGCAGCGGCTGACAACAGGCAGGCCCACCGAGGCTGCTCGGGGAGAGCCAGGCAAAATCATTTCCATGGTGCTGGTGGCGCTGAGCACAAGAGTTGGAACCTAGATGAATCTGAATCTAGCCCAGCCTCCTCATTCTGCAAGAAGGTGTCTTAGTCCCCTTTGAATCTGCGGCACCAAGCACAGTGCCTGGCACACAGTAGGTATTCAGTAAATGAGCACATGTGAATTGAAAAGGCCACGGACACGTTGCTGGCTGGCAGAGTCCCTTTCTCAATGTCTATTGCTGTCCGGTTCATTTCTTTCTCTCATACGGGCAACTAAGAAAGTTAGCTCATGCCTGATCTTTCATGATCTTTTTTTTCCCCTTTACTTATGTGGCTGAAAATAAATTTACCCCAGAAAAGAGAGATGCCTGATGCCTTCATCCTCCTCTTCAAACCCCTCTACATCCTTGGGTTGTGGCGATGCTCTCTGAAATTCAGGGCCATTTTCAGAAACTGGAGCCGATGGAGGAAATATGACACAATCTAACATTTTGCTTATCTGGCCGTGTGGTCTGGTGGTTTGCACAGGGGCTCTGCCAGTCGGAAGTCTGCCTTTCTATTTCTGGGACTGAGGGGAAACCATGTAGCAACAGTCTTTGCAGCCTCTTGCTTTCTCTTTCTCTTGTTCCGCGTGAAGAGCCCACACTGGACCTGCTCACCCACAGCAGTCAGCCAGAGAAGCAAACGTCCCGCGCTCCTGGCCTGGCTGCACCCTGGGTGGAGGCCGTGCCGGCTGGCGGTGACTGATGAAAGATAATCCAGGGCAATGGAAAGTGAGGGTGGTGAGCAGGACAGTGGTTTGAGGCTGAGAGTATGAAGGTGCATCGAGGACTGACTTAACCACATCAAACCAAACCATGTCTCCTCCGACGACTTGCCAGCCTGAAATCCTGAGAGGCTCTTGGGGGTGGAGATTTCACTGGCTAAGGGGCACCCTGTGTGCCTGGAAAAGGGGGCGGGAACGAAGCTAACTTTGCCCTCCAGGGAGCAAACCCAGAAGCGGGGAAATGGGGAAGCTCTTTGATCTGAAATAGAAAAAGGTTGGGGAGAGAGAGAGAAAGAGCCAGAATAACAACTATTTATTTGTTTAGAGACATGGTCTTACTCTGTCACCCGGGCTGGAGTGCAGTGATGTGACGACCCTAGCTCACTGCAGCCTCACACCGCTGGGCTCAAGCGATCCTCCTGCCTCGGCCTCCCAAGGTTCTGGGATTACAGGCATGAGCCACTGTGCCTAACCATGGCAATAAATTTGATGAAATCAGAAAGGAACAGAAAGAATAGAAGGGTATTAAGATCAGATCTTCTGAAGGGCAGAGAACTATAATGGCACACTTTTTTTTTTTAATTGCTGGACCTAGAATAGTTTACGCAAGGGCTTCAGAAAAGCCTCCTCAGGAATGATGTGTGTCAACCCTGCCTGGCTTAGACAGAAGGAGGAATTCTATTGCATCCCAGACTTCAAAGTCCATAGAGATTTGAACAGCCTTGAAATTGATAGAAAACTTTCAGCAATTGATCAATTGAATTATCCCACTCTAACTATGCAAGTTCTTGGGCTCTATCTAGAAAGAGCACGGCAAGTTAGGGAAAAATGGTCATTTAACATGCTATTTCATTTCCTTCCTCATTTCTACCCCACTGATCTTTAGGTCTCAATTCCTGCTACTGTAGTTGTTGTTTTAACAACCAGGAAGCTGTGAGAATGTTGGGTTATCTTTAGAGTGAGACCCTGCAGGAGGTTTTAGGCTGAGCCTTGGGCTGTACGATCAGATGGCATTTGCCGTGGCCTAACCATCGCTTTGGGGTTCTGAGGATTTTTTAAGAGGGAGGTTAGAACACTACGTTTTCCAGGTTAGTTGCATGTGCGTTATGCAGAGTCTCAGACTATGGTGGGAGTGTTGTGTCGTATGAGATCCCAGTATTAATACCACAGAAACCGCCAGTTAACATTGTGTGATCTAGGATGCTTTAAAGGAAAAAAAGAAAAAAACGGTCTCTCTGGAAGGGACAACACTAAAGAAAGACACACTAGCTTTGTGATGAGAAAAACCTGGATCTGAATTCTGTCTCAGCCCATTACTCGAGCATGCCACTTCCTCTCTCCATCTCCACTTTTCACCTGTAAATGGGGATTATAAAACCCTCTTAAGGCTGTTGTTAGAATTTAATACGATATGCAATTAAGTATAATTAAGTAAGTTGCAATTTATTGCCCTCTGTTCCAAAGTGCATGCTGAGACTTAATTTTTAAATATTAAAAAAGGGGTTTTCACCAGGTTTCCTCCCTGTGGGTGTTTATGGAGAGAAAACTTTCAACTGGCAAAGGCTATCAAAGCGGCAGAGCCATTTCAGGATGGTGGCCAAGGCCAGCGAGTCCCTCCTCTTAAGTGAAGCCCAGCAAATGTGAAACAGGGGCCCCAAACTGCTCCACCAGACAGCAGCAAAGTGCTTGTCTCACTTTCTTTCCAATGTGGCACCATCCTTATTTAACAGACAAGGTAGCTTAGCTTGGGTCTAGACATTTCTGACCCAGTCTGGAAGCCCCATTAGGGTGCCCTCTCCACCCCAGGACCTCATTACCTGCAGGATCAAGGAGCTTCTCAGAAAACAACTTGTCCCAAGGAGAAGCAGAGTTGAAGGGGAATTGGTCTTAATCAAGGATAACAGGTAACAGCAGGAGGGCAGCTCCAGGCCCCAAGTGGAGTCCTAGAGTAAGAGAGCTACAAGAGAGGGAGGGAAAATTGAATCAAAGGTTTTTCACTGAAATATTCAGGAAGAGCAAGACACTAGGCATTGGGGCCAGCTGCTTGGCTGTGAGCAAAGATGATGGTACTGGTGGCTCCAGAAGGTGGTGCCCTAAGGGCCAGTCTCAGTTGCCTTGGCTTTGGGCCGCAGCACTCAATTTTGAGCTCCTTCACTGACTCATTAACCCAACACATTTATTTCATTGCCTGTTATGTGCCAGGTGGGACATTAATGCCTTGGATGCAGAGATCAGTGTCCTTGATACATGTGAGTCCATAAGAAACAATCCTGCAGATTTGCTCCCAAAACTATTTTTGGGAGGGGGGGAATGTGATGGCTCCAGAGTCCCTCCAGAGCAGGATCAGGGGAACCAGTCAACTCCTGCCTGGTCCCCAGCTCTGCGACCCTGTTATCACCTGCAGGCTTGTGTGATTTGGGACCCATGAGGCTCATCTGTAAAATGGATTGGCTTGACCACAGGATCTCTAAGATCCGTATTTTATTTAAATGTCTACAGATTTAAACGCCACATGCTTATAATAGGCAATAATGAATTATGAACCAGATGATCTGAAAGCAGAGTGTTTTACTTTGCGATCCAATTAGACCGCTTGGGTTGTCAGCTTCTGAAACAGTCCCCATCCCTCACCCCTCCCCTTCGCCCCTCTTTGTGTAGGACTGGGCACTACTTTGCTTCGGCCCCTTGCCGAAACATGGATTTGCAGGCCCAGAAATGATAGATAATCTGGATATCACAGTGAACTCCTCTGGTTTTTAAGAATAATTCAAAAAAGTATCTTTTAAGTTGTGCATGGGCTGTGAACATTAAAAAAAAAATCAGTGGGCTGACTTTGAACAATGGCCACCAGTTTGCACCGTTTGATTTGTACAATTAGATCCGGATTGATTCAAAACTGGAGTCCAGTCCTATCTGGCTCCTACATGTCTTGAGCAGGTCATCAAACTTCTCTGTAACCTCTTTCCTCACCTTACGGTAAGATTTTAGAATTCGATATTCCTTCTGACTCTGACAGCCTCTGTCTGGTTTGAGAGCAGGACATCATGAATGGGTGTATTGGCACTTGAATGTGTCACTGCTTTTGCATTCAGGATGGGAAAGTCCTTTTTGTTGGGAGGTAGGAAGTTCCAAAGGAGTATAATTACTTGCCTTTCCTCTCTTTGTATTAGAAACAACTAAGAAATAGACCAGGCCGGGCGTGGTGGCTCACCCGAGGCCTAGCACTCTGGGAGGCCGAGGTGGGCGGATTGCTCCAGGTCAGGAGTCCGAAACCAGCCTGAGCGAGACCCCATTTCTACCAAAAATAGAGAGAAATTAATTGACCAACTAAAAAAATATCTATATACAAAAAATTAGCCAGGCATGGTGGCGCATGCCTGTAGTCCCAGCTACTCAGGAGGCTGAGGCAGGAGGATAGCTTGAACCCAGGAGATTGAGGTTGCTGTGAGTGCCACGGCACTCACTCTAGCCTGGGCAACAGAGTGAGACT